AGGTTCTTTTTTATACACAGTTTTCAAAACAAATATGGCTCTTGTTGCCTTAAAATTATCTACAGAGGCAGAAGAGTTTAGCAGAAATGGATTCAAGATGTGCTCTGCCACGTGTTTGGAACAGGAGTTAGTAAACTAGAATCCATGGTCAAATCTGGCCCACCATCTGTTTTGTCAATAAAGTTTTATTGAATCATAGCCTACTCATTTATGTAATGCCTATGTCTTCTTTTGTCCTACCAAAGCATAGCTGAGTGGCTGCAATAGAAAGCACAGAAAGCCAAAAAAAATTATTAATTACTGATGATCTAGAAGAATCATTAAGCCTGAGTTTTAGCACCAACCTCTATTTAATAATGTGAATCATACATCTTCACATCTTCTAGCTCACAGGATATTAAGAAGTCCCAAGATGCCTCTATAAAATCTTTCTAAATAAAACTCTATTAGCTACACACCTATTAGAGTGGCCAAAGTCAAGAACATGGAAAACACCAAATGCTGGGAAGGATGTGGAGCAATTGGAACTCTCTTTCATTGCTGATGGGAACGCAAAATGGTACGGTCACTTTGGAAGATGGTTTGTCAGTTTCTAACAAAATTACACATACATTCACCATACAATCCAGCAATCAAGCCCCTTGGCATTTAATTGAATGAGTTGAAAATTTACGTCCACACAAACGCCAGCACATGGATGTTTATAGCATCTTTGTTCATAATTGCCAAAACTTGAAAGCAACCAAGATATCCTTCAGTAGGTGAATGGATAAACAAATTATGGTACATACAGACAATGGAATATTATTCAGCAATAAAAAGAAGCAAGCTATTGATGAAAATACATGGAGGAAACTTAAGTGCATATTGCTAACTGAAAGAAGCCAATGGAAAAGGCTACATACTGTATGATCCAAACTATATGACTTTCTGGAAAAGGCAAAACTATGGAGACAGTTAAGAGATCAGTAGTTGCCATGGATTAGAGGAAGGCGGGGTGAATAAGCAGAGCAGAGAGGATGTTTATGGCAGTGGAAGTATTCTGTATGATACTAAAATGGTGGATACATGTCATTATACTATTGTCAAAACCCACAGAATGTACACCAAGAGTGAACCCTAAGGTATATGGAATATGGGTGATGATGATATATCAATGCAGTGGTACAACAAATGTACCACTCTGGTGAGGGATGTTGATAATGTGGCAGGTTATGCATGTGTTGGGGCAGGGGCTAGATGGGAAATCTCTGTACCTTCCATTCAGTTTGCTGTGAATCTTAAACTGCCCTAAAAAATAAAGTCTACTTAAAAAAATACACCTCTATTAGTTAATAAGACTGTGAAGGCCATTAAGAGCTGTTTGCCAGCTGTTTCCAGTTTGTACCTTCAGAACATCTGATACAATTGTGCTTCCTTGCTGTCAGTGCTTAAGCAAAAGTTACAAGTATCACTTCTAAGTTGAAACAAGACCTTCTAGAGGTCTCTTTTCCCTTTGGCTCAACAACTGAGAAATTCAAGCTTGTGACTGCCCTGAGTGACAATGATGAGCGGAGCCCCTCAGCTGACCTCTGGTGGATACAGGGCAGAGCAGGGAATAAGCCTTTCTTCTAAACCGCTGAGCTTTTGGGGCTGTTTCCTCAGCAAAATCTGGCTTATCCTGACTGATATAAAGATGGTCAATAACTATGTTATCATATTTTCAAAACTGTGACTTCTCTCTACCCTACTCTCCTGGCAGTCAAAGATATGGCACATTTAAGGAAGCAAAGTCGACACAGGCATGAATTTCAACGTTCGCTTGCAAATCTCTTAAACATCTAAAGGAGTCTAAGCACTTGGTTCACGGAAATTCTTACTAAAATCTATTTTCAAGCACCTCCAAATTCCAAGGAATCTCTCTCTCTCCCTCTCTTTCCTCTAAAGAACTCTCTTATTCATGCCTGTCTATCAAGCCACTGGGTTTCACCTTCAATAAGTGCGGAGCCTCCTAGGGAGAGAAGTTCTTCCTCCCTGATTAATTTTCTCCCAAGAGTCACAGCTTTTGTCCCTTCCTCAGAGAGTGCAGGAGAACAGTGCTAACCAGGTAAAAAGGCTAGAGAAAGTTGTGAACCCTCACTGTAAATCATCATCATTTCTGCTAATATTTGAGTATCTCTATGGCCATCTATTTTGTTTTCTTTCTCAACTGGTTCAGAAATCAGGTAGGAAGCAGGTGGCTATTATTTTTGGGCCCCCTCAAACCCCACCAAAGGCCAAGTGGAATCCTCTCAGGAAGTTTCCATAACAACAGTTCAATGGCCACACATTCTCTCCTGCTGTGTGGGAGGGTCATGGTGCCTCTTACAGGTATCTTCCATCCGAGACTCCTTCCTGACACTGTCAGGTTTGCAAAGTAATCCAATTCCCAGAATCCAGTGGTCCAATTCCCACAGTCGAAAGATCAACCCTTTCACACCTGTGTGTAAAGGGTCCACTGAGCCCCCAGAGCAAACTCAGTCTCTATAGCAGGTTGCCAACCAATTCTAGAAAGCCCCTCCCCCTCTGCACTGTCAGCTTGTTCTGCTCTTCTTATCTTCCCATCCAAACCTAAAATCTCTCTCTGCTGCACTGACACAGATAGAAATGCACAACGACTTGAGGAAGATGAGCAAAAATACACAGGGAAATACCCCCTGAAACTCTCCTGGCAATATCACATGATTTCTACCTGTCTCATCCTTCAGACATACAACTTTGACATCTTCACAAGGGCTTTCTGGATGTTACAAATGGGTAGTGCCACAGAATGGCAACTTTGATCAAGCCATGGAATTTACCTCTGAGACCTATAAACCATAGCTGACTGATGACCCCCTATATCCTCCGGGTTCATGATGACTGCTTTCAGGGTTATCAGCAAATTCAGGTGCTGACACAAGGTCCAATCCACAGCTCTCTGCTTATAAAAGACAATCTGGGATCTTCCTCAATTCACTCATGCACTCGTGAAATCCAGTGGGTCACCAGGTATGCTGGAATGTCTCGCAAGACTCTCTTCTATTTTCAATTTTCTCTACTCCTGACTTTTTCAGATCCATGGCATCTCTTGCCTGGACGGTAGGAATAACTAACTGCTTCTGCTGCCCACAGTCTCCACCTTCAGGCCTCATTGCCATGCTGGTCACTGTGGAACATGATTTCCTGATTGCTTCACCACAGCTCAACACAGTGGACAAGAGCATGAGTGCTAGTGTTGGAGAAGAGCAAGGTTCAAGGCCCGCCTCTGCCACTAAGAGGGCAAGTCCTGTAGCCACTCCAGGTGGTGCTTTCTTCTCCTCAGACTGGGAACAACAATGGCAGTTCCCTCATAGAGTTTGGGAGGATTGAATGGAGTAAAGCAAGTAAGCTTCTTGGCACAGTGTTTTGGCATCCAGTAAGTGCTGAATAAATGTTTATTATTATATATTGATATATCAATATCAATGATTATCATATAATCTGAGCATTTGAGGCCCTACAAATTTTGGTCACAGCAGACATTCAATTCCCATCTCCTACCAGTCCACACAGTGGATGTGACTCTTTTGTTGAGAGGGTCTCCCCCTGTGCTCCTCAGACACTGCCGGTCCATGAACCCCTCAACTGGCACACTGGAACTTTATTTTTACCTCTAGTGTGCTTGCCCCCAAATGTAGAAGGAATAGTCATTGTGTCATATATTTTCAACAAAGTTTTCCACTAGGAGATAATACTCTAAAATTACCCACGGACGTGGTACATTGCTTTCTGAAATTGGTACAATTTTTTGATGTCTAATCATCTTTATCTCTAAGAGAGTCATCTTTTCCAAGCTTCATCCAAACTGAAATTCCAATGTTCATCCAAAAATTCATCTATAAGTTGTGTTGCCACTTTTAAAACCCACATGTATACTCTTCTCAGACTCACCAGAAGGGGGTGTGCCTGCATAAAGTAGGGAGCTCCAGCACTCCCTCACAAGGGGACAGTTACTTGTTCCAGAACTCATAATCCAGAGACACTATTTTTTTTAATAATTACCAGAGGCCCAGAAGATGGAAGCATCTCAGCTCTTACAGTTCTTCATTAATGCTTGTCATAGCACAGCCTATACTTGCTATTCTTAAAATGAATTTTTCTGCGATTTGCACTGATCTAAATTCTAGTTACAGACGAGAACACCTGAGTCACCTGGATTCTGAATTGGTGCTGTTACCTATGCCCGCTTCATTTCATTCCTGGTATAGCCTATGCAGAGCAGAAACATTACATTGCTAAGAGCACTCTGGAGCCAGGCTGCCTGGATTGTGCCTCTGCTACTTGCTAGCTGTGTGATCTTGGATAGGATGCTCACTCTCTCTGTGCCTCATCCATCATCTGTAAAGTGGGAACAACCATGACACCTATCTCCTAGGTTGTTGCAAAGATTAAATGAGTCAATAGGTGCAAGTAATTAGAACAGTATGTGGTGCACAGTGAGCACTGTATGTGATTTTGCTGCTCCTAATATTACTATTCTGTAGTCAGCAATCACAATCATCCTGGAGCATCACAGACAAGGAAAAGAAGAGCAGGTGCTGAATCTATCATGTTGAAAGCAGCTCAGCAAAGGAAACCTTGTCGGTAGATTCTGCCCTACTTGGAGTCAAGGCTTCCAGCAATGGCCACATGAGGGGAAGAGGAAGTGCAAAATTAAAAATAGAAAGGATTACTTATTGACTCTCAATTTCACTTTCAGAAACTCAGGTGGATAAAACCTATAAGAAAAGATATGGCTCTAATAACTGCTGATGGTTCATAAACAGCCACCCAGGACACTCCAACTATTGAGATTGTTATTGATGGGGGACCTTGACAGTGCCCAGAAATACTGCTCTGCCACCAGACCCAGTCTACCTATACATTACAAATATTCTTACTTCGCAGCATGATTTCCACATTCCCTGCAATAAGAATACTTTCTCATTTCTATCATTCCTACAAATGTCTACGCATATTACCTGAGTTCATTTTTATGGATTTCCACTATTTTTCTTTCCAGCTTCTGTGATTGCTTGGGGAAAATCTCAAACTCACTGATGTAATTCTCAGGATGCTCATCAGGATCATAATCACCGAGCTCAGCTGTAACCAGTAAAAAGTAAAGAGAGAGAGAGAGAGATTAAAAACAACAAGAGCAGGGTGCACAAGGAATGGCTCCTGCCACCCAGAAGAGCTTGGAATAAGCTCAGCCAACAAATGCATTTGTGTCCATGGAAAGACCACAGCCTGAGTGTCCAGAGACTCATATTCTAGTCAGATCTAGCTGTGTGAGCTTCTTGGGTACTTGTCAACCTCTCTGCGGCTCATTTTCTTCATCTATACAATAAAGGAATTTAAATCATTGGTTCTCAGTGTGGCATGGGCACTATTGGGATTTTAGGGGATAAATGATTTTTTACCGTTTCAGACCTTCCAAGGGATGGTAGGACATTTAGCACCCCTATCCTTCAGGCACCAAGTGCTAGTGGCACACCCAGTCATTGTGACCACCAAAAATGCCCCCTCCCCAGGATTTCCAAATGCTTCCCAGGATAGGACATGGTCCCACTTCTAGTTAGAAACCACTGGACGCTCCTCAAGCTTCCTTTCACAGGTCATTTTCTGGGAGTCTAGGAATTCCCTGGCTGGAGCTGCCCACTCTGAGATTTGTGCAGGTGTGGCTCATTCAATGAAAAATAAAATCACAACATAAGACTCCCAAGAGGATTGCACTTAAAAATAAATGAATTTCTCCTCAAATTAAAGAGTGTGTATCTAAGTAGGGACAAGCATACCAGATGAAGGCTATTGCTAGATTCTAATATAGGGCACCTCCAGAGGGTCTTTAAGGGTCAAAAGAAATGCCTGCACATCTCTGAGCAGCTGGTGGGTCTAGGAGAGGATGGACCTGGGATGTGCACCGACCGCAGCCAGGAGCAGCAAAGATGATGCTCTGGCAGTGGGAATATTTTCTATTGATTCTACAAGCTTGCTAAGGAAAATGAGCTGGAAGGGGCAAGCATCTCAGGCAGAAATGGTCCAGGAGAGTAGATTAAACATGGTGGGAAAATTGTACTAGAAGAACTTGATCACCAACATGACTTTGAAGTACATAAAAATCAATATGTCTTGAGCACATCTGCAAAATCACATCCAGCTCTGTAATTTGTATCTACTGTCCCTTCATTGCTGAATCATCTAATGACTGTAAAAGGACAAAATTGGGAGGAGAGCAAAGCTCTTTAAAGCTTCTTAATAGAATTCAAATTATAGAGTTCTTACAACAACCTAAAATGTATACCACATGAGGAAGGACTTTTAAAATAAGACCCAAAATACCATCAACCACAGAGGGGAAATTGATTAATTTGATCATATCAAAATTAAAATATTTATGTTAATTAAAGGATATCACAGTCAAAATAATAAATGACAAGTTGAAAGAATATATTTGCAAAATGTAAAGCTGACAATGGCTAATATCTAGAATAAAAAAGAAATCCCTACAAATGAATAAGAAAATGGGCAGGAAGACCAATAGGATAACGGTCAAAGGATATAAACAGCCAATTCACAGAAGGGGAAACCAAAAGGACTAGTGTACACAGAGATGCTCAGACTAACCAGTAATCAGAGCTATGCAAACCAAAACAAGCCATCACTTTACAGCTATAAGACTGTCAAGAAGTTTAGGAAGTCGGATGATTCTATGTGTTGACAGAAACATGAGCATATGGAAATACTCATCCACTTCTATAGGATTCTTGATGCATGTAGCTCTTCTGGAGAGCAAGTCGAGAGCATTTAGTAAAATATTATGGCTCAGTAATATCACTTCTGGGCACAGATTCTAGAGAAACTCTGGGTGCAAAAAGGACATGGAGGCAACTTGGTACTCATCTTGGTGGGAGGAATAAATAAAACATGGGTGATGCACCCTACTGGATACTGTGTAGAAATTAAAAGCAACAAAATAGATGTAATGTGAATAGATCCCCAAAATAGTGTTCTAAGCATAAAAAAAAAGAAATAAAATGAATTCTGTAACTCCATTTAATTATGAAACTTAAAAATGTATACAGACAAAACACTACTAACCATTTTATAAAGATGTAGACAAAGTCAAAGATACATATGAACCCAGTTGTTGCCTTTAGGAATGGAAATGGAGAATAATGAAAAGAGGGAAATCAATCAATGGATGGGCCCAAAGGGACCCATGATGAGAATGGGCCATGAACTGATGATTAACTCAACCTAAATTTCAAAAGAAACACATTTAACATATCTACACACGCGTGCACACTCACACACACACACACACGCCCTTGTGGGCTGGTCATGGGCCTAAAAATTTAGGAGATGGTATAACTCAATAATCCCATTTTCCACAAGGAAGGGACAACTGATACGAAACTGGGTCATCTTCAATGCAAGTGTCAGCTTGCATGGTGATTGGTGAGGGAAGGCATTGTTTGTGGGGGGTACTTCTCTTTCCAGGAAAACCTGTGAGGTATGATGGACTTGTATTGCTAAACAATGCAAATGCCAGAGATCTAAGAGAAGAAATGTCTCGGAACCTGCACAGGGCTGCTCACAAGGTAAATGTCAATGCTTCCCCCATCACAGGCCCTGCTTTTTTGTCCCTTAAAGCTTGTATTTAACTCTGATTTCAAACTCTGAAGCAAAAGGCAGTTTATATAAATGATTAAGGACTTCTAACTATTTCCATACCAAAAGGAGTTGAGTAAGCAGCTTGTGGTTCTCTCTCCTATACATCACGTTTAGGATAAAGTTGTGGCAAATGACACAAAGCACATTGGATGGCTTACAATTTGAAACAGGCCCTAGCACTTTTCTAAGAGAATTTAACTGTCAGAAAAATCCAAAAAGTTGAAGCTAATGGATGAGTGTGATCGAGTGATGGTGAGCACAAAGGGCAAGCTTGGCCATGGCATTTCCCCTGCTCTGTAGAGGACCCATTCCAAATGAACTTGAAATACAGGATGTTACAGCTTTGGTGCCAACTCCTTCAGGAGTCTTCCCTGATGCCTCCCTGCTGGGTCAGGGGCCCTCCTGAGGTCATAGCAGGGACCCGTGTGTCCCTCCATTTAGACATCAATACATCATCACAGTTGCCTGTGTGCTTGTCTGTCCCCCACCCCCACCCCCCACAGGGACTTACACTGCAGTGCCTGCCACCTAGCGGCTGTCCCACAAATGTTTGGAGAGCACATGAACAAATAAATGAAGGTGGTAGTGAACCAACCAGTCTTTCCCAAGTATAAAAACAAAGCACACGTTGGTGCAATTTAGGCAGGTGCCCTGGTTCACTTCACACATTGAGTGGAGAACTTACGGTGTGCCAGACATGGAGATTGCAGTGAAAAAGACACCCAGAGTCCTGCAGCAGTGGAATTTAGATTCTACATAGCGGGGAATGCATAATAAGCCAAAACAACTCAACAGAAGTAATTTCAGATACAACTGCTTAAAAGACAACAAAGCAGGAGTGTGAGAAAGAACAATGTGCAGGGCAGAGGCTGTTTTAGTAACCCAGGAAGACTTCTGAGAGGGAGTGACATCTGAACTGAGTTCTGAATACCCACAAGGAGCCACAGGGGTTGAACACACCAGGTAGAGAGATAAGAACAATAATCCTGCCATGTTGCTGTTTTGTAGAAGGAAGAGGAAAGATATTTTTAGCAAGAGAGGAGACAAATAGATCCCTGGGGTTCTGTGTGTTTGTTTTGCAATTTGCATTATGAAAGAAAATATATGCATTGCATGCATCGAATATGTTTGTTGTGTCCAGCACATACAGGAGGCAAAACTCTTGGTGGCTGTCTGTTCTTTATACACTCAGAATACGCTGAAGCTTAAAACATGCTCTTTCAAAGAACATCAGCAAATAGGAAGCCAGTGAAAACACGGGGCCTCCTGCTTTCTCATCATTTGCTCCACATTCCCATCACTCTGTAAGCACAGGCAGATCCCACAAAGCAGATCTTCCTCCGCATTTGTAATGATCTCTAGTGCTGCTTAAGCATCTCCCGAGCAGCAGAGAATTTAATGAATCCAGCTTTTACTGGATTTGCTACAAATGGCCCATGGATACTGATGTATTTTAGTGCTGAAAGGTCCTTTTGAAGTCTGCCAGTCCATTTCCAACTCTATAGCATCTGTGTGTGTGGTCACTGGTAACAGCGATAAGGGATAAAAGAGGGCCCTAACTGTCTGGATGGAGCCCGTGTGGCTTTACTTCAAATGTAAAACAGGATGGAAAGCTTCCCATTACAGATCCATACTGAGCTTGTCCTTGGAGAATTGACCATAATTCACTAATGCCTAAATGCGTTCTGAAATCCTCATATGCCGGTCTGTTGCTTGGATTAGTATCGATTCACTTTTCCCTTTCGGAAGGCAGTGCTCCCTAACTAGGAATCTGCAGTCTTCACAGGGAAGGAGAAGAACTATGGGGTTTTAACATCCCTTAGCTCTGATATAAGAGAGGTGGCTCGCGGAAGCACATACTCCACTCCGGGGCAGATGGAAGCATGATTTCTCATCACAGTGTCACTATAGTTCTGACTTTAAATGTGAATACCTCCAAGGGTTTTAACATCTCTGCCCAAATCTGCTACAGAGCACTAGGGTGCTCCAAGGGGGAGGCCAAAGCAGCACAGACACACTCTTCAGACTTCTCAGAGAGCACACGCCTGGAGACAGGTCCAAGGAACTATTTCAAGCACAGAGCATCCCATGGGACAGTGGTGGCAACAAGACAAGGATGGCTGTCTCTCTGAAGCTGTGAATGAAGCTTGGAACCGTGATAGGCTGAAGACTGTCATGATTTGCTTGTGACCCATCACAAGCTCCTTTGTTATTCCAGACCCTTTATGAGGGTGACATGCTCACAGAGTAATCTCTTTCTCTCCATCCCTCCTCTCCGTGCCTGCCTCTCCTCCCTGCCCTCGCCTTTTCTCATAAACACATCATTAGCGTTCATGCAACAAATGGCTGGATCACCTGGGTCCCTCCAAATAGGCCCTGCTGCCAGCTGCCTCCCGACGGGCCCAGGGGAAGAGGACACCTGAGTCATTCTTTACTGGGCTCCTAGGCCATCCCCTTGGTGATGCGCTGCCTCAGGCCCTGGAGACTGCCTTCCCTCAAACCGCTTTTTCTTACAGGTGGAAACATCCAGTAGCCTGCTCTGAGTCATACGCACTTGCTGTTTCCCACTGCCCCACCCTCTGGGGCTCGTTGAACCCTGAAAATAAGTCTTATGAAATCTTCACATGGCAGTGAAGGAGGAAGGATCACCTATTTAACATATGAAGAAACTGAAACCTAGGAGCTTAGATAATTTGTCTGGTGTGAAATCTCCAGGAAATGAGAAGTAAGCTTCAAACCGAGATACAACAGACTGTGACCTGGTGCTCTCCTCGCCATGCTGCGTGGCTAGAAAAGCTGAAGAATGAAACACAGTGCCCATGTACACATATGTACATATACCTCACCTATGAATATATATATATATATATATATATATATATATATATATATATATAAATGCTTTGACACTTCATTTCAAATGTCTGAAATGACACCTGTTTGACACCTATCTCCCTGGACATACTTTCCCTCATCAATATACCCATTAGGTCCACAGCTGGTGGCTGGAGCTCAGAGCACAGAACACCCCACATCCCCTCAGAGCTTCTTATAAAGTCACACATTCCATCCCATTTGAAAGAGAGACTCTGAGCTCCACCACGGGGCCTTGAGGCCCCCTTGCTCTTGCAGAGGCCCCTGTGACCATCCCAGCTCAGCCTTCCCCAGGACCCCACTGGCTTCAGAGGGAAGGTGAGTAGGGCTCTGCTGCTAAGTCCCCAGCCCTGCCTGGCCTCAAATGATGGACACGGGCAGGATGGGCACAGGTCAGGCAGGAGGGAGGCTGAACAGCCAGAGCTCTACAGTCCAGTGCAATGGTGGGGTGGGCAGCTGCGGCCACACTCACCTTGAACGATACAGGCACCCAGGTAGGCAGCATCTGAAAAGGAGCAGAGCAGTCGGCCGTGGAAAATATCTCTTTTAATTTGCAGGAAGAGGAGGTACCTGCAATACAAAAGGGGAAAGAGTCGCCCTCAGTTTTGGCTGAGGCCTGGAAGAAGAGGAAGGTTTGTTCGTGCCTATCCACCTGGGTCCCCAGAGCCCTACCCAGTTCCGAGGAGTGGCCGAGACATGCCAAGCCCCTCGGAGGGCAAGCAGAGGAGCCTGAGAGGGGCCCTCAGAATCCAGAAAATCTGAAGTGTCTGCGGCAGCTTCCAAAGCTGGTGGCTAGCCCTTTCCAAAGAGATGGGAGAAGGACCAAGGAAAGCCACAGGGCCCAGAAGCCACTGTCCCTGGCAGGAACTCCCACATGATGACAACCACAGCCACTGTCACCACCACCCGCACCTCAAGTACATCCTGCCCAGGCTCTGTGTGAAATGGAGAGTCAAGAAAGGGACTCAGTCAGATGGGGACCAGTCTCGGGGTCAGAGAGACTTGCATTAGTCAATGTCAGAAAGACTTGGTTATGTGGCCAGAAGCCAGTGTCTTCACAGCTAGAGCTGTCATCTGTTTAACATCCTCTCCCCTCTCCAGGGATGGCAAACTCAGATGCCCACAGAACCAGGCAGACCTGATAATGAGTGAAATGGGCAGGCTGAGGGGGTCGGGGTCAGGATGGAGAGCACTGGTTGGGGAGGGGACACGACTCAATTGGTCCCAGTCACCACCTCTAGTGCTGAAATAATCTGATCTTCACTCAGCCTGTGAGGAGCCACGTGCAAAACCTCATCCAGAGAGTGTGATTAACATGCTGAGATCACATAGGCACTGCCACCCCAGGGCGCTGGAGCTTGCCCTCTCTGGGCGCTGGTTCACCTAAAGCACACTGGACACCCTGCAGGGTTCAGGGGCTCATTTGATGAATCTTTATCTCACCTGCTTTACACATGCCCTGTGATGGGCATTGGGGACATGGTGGAGGCTCAGATGATACTCTCTGTCCCCAACTTTGTATGGAATTGTGTGCAGGGGATAAAGGCAGTCACTAACAAATTTCATATCTGGAGTTTGGTGTGCATTTGAGCAGAGGGACAACATCACACTTGGTAGAGAAGGACCAGAGCAGCTCCCTAAACCAGTGCCTCCCACACTTCACTGAGCACATGAGTGACCTGCACATCTTGTTAGAATGTGGGTTCTGGCTCAGTGGGTCTGGGTGGGCATGAGAGCCCACATTTATAATAAGCTCCCTGGCGATGCTGTGCTGCAGGCCCAGGACCACACTTTGAATAATAAGGTTCTAAACCAAAGGTGCTCAGCCCTGACTGCACATTAGAACCACCTGGGGGAGTTTCTGAAAAGTACCAACACTAATGGACCCTACCCCAGATCCAAATAAATCAGAATCTGGGTCCTGACAAAAGCTCGTGCACAAATGTCCACAGCAGAATTATTCTTAGTAGCTAAACGGTGGAAACATCCCAAATGCCCAGCTGATAAATGGATAAAAGAAAGTGGTATATTCATACAGTGGAATATTATTCAGCCATAAAGACGTATGAAATACTGATAGATGCTACAAAATGGATGAATCTTTAAAACATTAAGCTATGTGAAAAGAAGCCAGACATAAAATACCACATATTGTATGATTCCATTTGTATAAAATGACCAGAAAAGATAATTTATAGAAACATAAAGTAGATTAGTGGCTACCAGGGGCTGGGGGAGGGGAGAACAGGGAATGACCACTTGGGCACTGGGTTTCCTACTGGGGTGATAAAAATGTTCTGGAATTAGACCCTGGTGATGGTGGCAGAACTTTGTGAAAATACTAAACCCACTGAAGTGTACACTGTACAATCTGCCCCCCAAAACTAATACTCTTGAAAATCCAATTGCCTTAGAGTAGTGGTTCTCAAATTTTGACATGCTTTAAAATTTCCTGGAGGGCATATGAAAACACAGATTGCTGGGCCCATCCCAGTTATAGGGCAGGGGCCAAGTTCCCAGGGGATGCTGATGCTGTGGGTCGGGGGACCTTGCTTTGAGGACCGTGGCCCTAGACCATTCAGAATATCAGTGTGATACAAACACTTGAAATGATCGAATCTTTTCTTTTTTAAAGACTGTAAACCACTCAGGCCAAAGGCCACCGGGTTTCTTTTATGCTTGCTGAATGTATGCATTGAACATAAAAGCATTCCTTTCCACTCTTTGATGAGTCTAGTAGGGAAAAATAGATTCAAATAACTATTTACGATGAACGAGAAGTTTGGGCTCTAATCCCATAACTCAGAAATCAAGTTTGATGAAAGCTTCCTGAGAAAAGAAAATCAGGTTTCACAACATCTGAGCTCGGGTCCCTGCTCATATCAGTGGTCACTAGAGATGACTGTGGGTCATTCTGGATTCAGCATAATCCACTGAGCCTTACAAATGGCTTCATGTCCAGATGTTCATTTTTGAATAGAATAGCCACCAAATTAAATAAATAAATAACGCATCATGCTTTGGTATCACTTCTGCATACAAGGAGTAAGGAGCAGAAGCACAAGAGAACCAGGGGCCTACACTACTGTGCCACCATTAATGCTACTGCTCTACCTACTAGGAACTCAAAGATGGCTCTTACCAAAAAAATTAAAATCAACGTATGTAGATTACATTCAATTTTACACAGCATTTACAAAAGCCATAGAAATCCAAAGAACTGTAAGATGACTGCTTGAAAGGACAGATAAAGAAAGCATGAAAGGTGATTTCAAATATCCTTTTTTGTGAGTATTTTTGGTGTTTTCTTCTTTTAAACCTGCCTTTTCTCAATGTTTCTTTACCCCTGAGCATGGTCATGAATGTGGTCTTAATTTCTCATATATTAAATTCTTCTTAGACTTCAGATTAATCTTACAATAAATAACAATTTATGAAACAGAAAAACTAAACATTTTCAAGATAGGGTTCAAACCGTAAGTACGAGGGACATTCCGCAGATTCTAGATTCGTTTTGAATTCTAAGGACTGTGTTGAATAAGAAAAGTCTATTTCTACCTGTGCAAGGACACGGCATTGTCTTCATTGCCTTAGGAGACATAAAAACGTTTGCAATTTTCCACTATTCATACCTTAGCGATTCAGTCAAATGCAGGAAATGGTAGCAAATTTAATTGACAGGTGTTTAACCAGGGTTACTAACTAAAACTTCATACTCCTTCAAACGAGACTCTCTCGACAATAAAAGATCCATCTTTAATTTATATTGTGACACATATTCAATTTTTATCCTCCAGACAAGATTTTAGAGGAACAAATGAGAAAAGTGAGCCGTTTGGGGACCTGACAAAATAATGCCTGGCATTAGTCTGGATTTGATTTGACCTTCCTAATCACACTGTCAGCACCCGGAGGGCAGGACAAATCTCTCTCTTTTTCTTTTTGTCGCTCATACAGCCCCCGCCCCCTGGGCTGTGCAGATAGTAGGAACTGACGAAAAATTTATGAAATAAATGAATAAATTTGTCAAGCCTAAAGCAGGCCAAAGCCACATATTGTATGATTCCATTTATATGAAATAAACAGAACAGGGTCTCTTTGGGTTATCTTTTTGGGGTGATGAGAAAATGTTCTGGAACTAGATAGTGGGGATGGTTGCCTAACACTGTGCATGTGCTTAATGCCACTGAATTGTACACTTTGAAATTAATTTATTTTATGTGAATTTTACATCAATTAAATAAAACAAGCTGGCCAGATTGCAAAATACCAACACCAGTCCTGATGTCCACCATCTACGTGTCCCTCCTTCCACACACACACCCTGCCCCCGCCCCCAAGCACCAGCTCACTAAACGTCTGCACACAAATTAATAGTAGAGAACCGAGCCATGTGCTCCCTTCCAACGTCACCTCAGTGCCACTAAGGTCAAGCTTTACCGGATGCTCGTGGATAACAAGAAAGCAAAATATCCCAGAACCCAACATGACTCCCTGCAAGTGACGATCAGAGCAAACTGCATTTGCTTCTCTGCGGCATTCAGACCCATGCAGAGTATTCTGAGAGAGGACTATGCCCAGTGATCTTCGCCGTCGCCTGATCGGAGCCTCGTCAAGAACTAAGCACACATGGAAGCTTCTCCAGCCATTGCAGTGGCCCTCCCAGGACCCTGCTCAGCTGCACTGGCCGAGGCTGTTCACGGAAACAAACCCCCCAGAAAGTGGACTGAACATGGGCCCAGCAGAGGGAGAGGAGAAGGGAGGAGGCCCGAGGACTGGAAAATGGTGAGAGTTGAGTCTACAGGTAGAGGGAAGCTGGCCCTCCTACAGTGGGTCACTTAGCAAGAGAAAGGCGGATGACAAACAGTCCATTCTATCAGGGGATCTTTTCTCCCCCAGAGAAACTTAGACCCAAAAGACAGGCCCTAGGGCTGCACTAGCTAGGAATTCGCCCATATCCTAGGGAGTCGCTTTCTGTTTATTTTTAGCATCCCACTGTCAGACATTTTCAGAGAGGACCTCCTCCTCATAACCACTGCTTTCTTGTACAGTTAATTACACTCCCGATGACAACTGTTTGAAAAATCCCAAAACAATTAAGTGCAAGAGAAACCCTGCAAGCCTGAATGCTGAGTGGACGCCTGCTTCACTGCGATGCTCGGCCCTAGGCAGGAGCTCGTCTGGCCTGTGAGACTTGGAGGCCCTGGCTGGGCAGAGGGGCACGTTAAACACACAAACAAACGGGAAATACCTGGTGAGCTCTTCTTTAATCTTCAAGGGTTCGTGTGGGTAGAATTTCACTCTAAAGCACATGGTGTATGGTGGATGAGCTGAAACGTCATAAAGAAAAGGCATGAGAAAAGCAGCAAAAGACCGTGGACTCACACACACATAGGCAAGTCAGCATGAAGCCCACACACTGCCTGGGCTGGGGCAGGGGAGAGGGTGACCTGCCAGGAGAAGCAGATGTCATGCCCAAGAAAACAAAGCAACAGCGACAACAAGACTCAAAGAAAATGGTGGACAGGACGCCCAGAGCCAATGAGGGACACAGGCCCTCTAGTCAGTGAGTACAGCTTCCCACCTCACAGCTCCCTTCCTTCCTTCATTCCCGCCAGGTCACAGTTTCAATAACATTTTCTCTTCCAATTCTTCCCCCACCCTCCCATGACAGATAAATTGCCCACAAGCACCATTCAGGTTTTTTGTCTAGTGGAATATTTTTTAGCCTGTGAGGTGGAATAATGTCACTGCACATGACTAGTTTTCCCAAATTGATGGTGCCTTTGAACTAAAATTGAGATTTTTAAAAATGTAGGCAGCCATGCACAGATAATACTAAAATATACAAAGTAGGATCTGCCTATGAGGCAGTCACTTGTAAGAAAATAAACACTTTTATAACTTTTTGATTTGTCTAAATCAAGATAGCACTATGCAGACTGAAATTCTGGTTGAGGTTGATGATTCTGGAATGTTTTAATTGTTTCAAATATCTGGAACTCGATGACCAACTCATGAGATTCTAACACCTTTTAGAATTAGAACACCTCTAATTCTAATAGGATTTCTAACACCTTTAATTATAAGACCACTGTTGACTTGCAATATCAACCTACTAAATGCACACAGTGTAGTAAAAAAAATGGACACCTCCTGTACAGCAAAGAAATGGTGAAGAAAAATATAGATGATTCTCAAGTCATTCATCTTTCATGATTATCTAGGAATTCAGTTTTGATTCAAAATATTTTATCTTTACACACCTCCAAGATTTATTTTAATTTGTTTGTCATTACCTTTAAAAGATTAAAACTAACAGTTTATTATAATACCTCTGAGTCGTCCTAAATAGAAAGGTTGAGACACTTTTTGCAAGAGCAACAGAGCAAAAAAATGGAAATAAGATAAAAGAGAAAAGGAATTTTTCTTTTGTCTTTCTTTCCTTTCTTCTTTCTATCTTTTATTAAAGTCCTCAAAATTAATACATGTTTAAGCACAACCAATGAAGATGGTAGATAGATAGATAGATGATAGATAGACAGATGACAGACAGACAGATGCAGGAGCCATCCTTCCACTCTGCTTGTCTTTATTCCTACCCCTTTTGTCCCTCAGGTTCCTGCCCCACCCCCAACTCTCCAACACTGTTCACAACTCCCTCTCTATTCTTCCACTGCTCGCCATCCTTACACAAAAGCATGCCAACATGATTGCGTAGGTGAGGGATTGTTTCTTGTAATTTATTCTCACAAAATGAGGTCATAATTTATATGTTTCTCTTATGTTTCTCACTTAAATCTACATTCTGTCCACACCTCTAGGATGGTAGACGGAGATCTAACTCATTGTCTATAATAGCTGCATAAGAGTTCATACCATGGATACACTAGAATTCACTCCACTCTTCCCTTTAATAATCATCCAGGTTTTTTCCACATTTTATCAATTCAAACAATTCTATTATACATAAGTATAATACATAATTATATATAATTCTATGTATTTGATATGCGCAAAAGAAGATATATAAATCATTAAACACTTACATTTCATTTCTGTAATACAGACTCCCAAAATTTGAATTGTTAGGTCAACAGGTATGGGAAGATATTTTAAAGGGAGCAGAAGAATAAAGCTGACTGAAGGCAAATTGGGGAAAGGAGAATCACAAAAGATGGTCTCAAACGAGAGCTATCATTTTCTCTTCGACCTGGTCAGCATATCTGCTTACCGCACCCTAGGCTGGCTTCAGGAGGAATCCGAGCTCATTGGCTACAGATCAGGACTCACACTCTTCCTAGGGGATCAGGCAGTGAGTGATGCTCAGAGGCAGCTCCCCAGGCAGCCATCTTTGACTACCCCTGACTGTAGGAAGTCCTTCCACCCAGTCATCCGTGTGCCAAGACCTGAGGCTCCAGAATGTTCTGATGTTTCTCCCACATGGAAAGCCCTTCCATCATTTGAAGACAGCCCTTATGGTCCTTCTGAGTCTTCAATAAAACAAACGTCCCCGGTTCTTTTAACTGCTCCTCATATGGGACAGTTTTGAGTGTACTCACCCTGGGTATATTCTTGTCTACTCTGTATTTCCTCCAGCACAGGGCCCCAGAGGCTGCCACATCCACTCAGGCGAGGGGACCACCACCAGCCTCATTGTGGACATAATTGTTGTTCCCCATCATCTCATCTCAGTGTTGATTCACCCTGAGTTTACAATAGACCAACACTCTGGATTCTTTTCATATGTGCCATCACTAAGTCATACAGAAAAAGTCACTAAGTTCCTGACATCTCCCTCCACTTCCTGAGATGTGACCATGGAAGAAATTAATACGCAGTACTAGTGACGCACTCACCACTATATCCCTTATCAGAGAAGGGAGGAGAGTCAGCAGGAGGAAAAACAGGAGAAGGCACATTTCAAGTCTGAAATTTTCTATCCTTTTTCTTCTACCATCATAAACACCCCTACTGTGTCTTTCTCTCATATTGATCCAGAATCCTTGACACCATGTCACCAATTGAAGAAAAATTATTTCCCTATAAGTTAAAAGTGTCACATGTTTCTGACATAGTGAACCACAAGTAGCACCAGAGACCTGTGCCGACAAGAAGCTCGACCCCATCCTCTGGGTCTGAAGAGTCCACTGTGGCAGCACGCTTCTCCTTGAAGAGCTCACCTAAGGCTCTGGATGCACAATTTCATTATAAAGCAAGTAGTAAAGCTACAGAATGCTTCATCACAGGATTGGAATAGGCTGAAAAGATAAATAATTTTCCCCCAAAATGCTGATCTAGTTCTGCATGGCAAGATTTATGAGGATATGGACCTCTATGTCTTGTTCAGCATTTTATCCTCAGAGCTAATTATTGACAAAAGATTGACTCTCTGCCTGTCTGGTTGAATGAATGAAGGAATGATGATCCCAACCTTTGAGGCAGATGTCAAGGAGAACAGCCAGGCCCTGCCATCACATTCATCCCATCAAATACTGGTCCACAGTCTGAATCACGACAGCAATTTCTAGGATTTATATTCTGAAAACCTCTGGTCCTATAGAGAACAAATTCAGGGACTCTGGGATTGGTTAGAACAGCTACTTCTAGTGAAAGGATCAATTAATTCAATCAACAAATACTTATTGTGCACCTACTGGGTACCAGGCACAGGTTTAGATGTACAAATAATAGCAGCTGTAAACCCACAAAAATTCTGTCTTTGTGGAGGACACATTCTCATGGGTAAACAGGTCTAAATTCAAAATAAACAAGTGAAGTATGTAGGACATTAGAAGGTCCTGATGGAGTGGAGAAGAATAAGGCAGAAAGGATTTAAGGGGTGAGAGAAGACCACCCAGCTCTTTTCCTTGTCTCATCTTCCCTATAACCAAGTCCACAAAGGTAAGTACAATTCTCTTTCCCACCTTCTGGAAAACCAAACCAGGGGAGAAAGACAATCATTTAAACTTTTAAGTCATTAAACAAGAGGATGGGGAAAAGTCATCCTTAAATGTGCTGGCACTTGGTTTGGGGTCAAAAGCTCTGCTTTGGAGCATTAGCATGTGTCCACACCAGCTGAAAACGAGCCTTCCCAGGTTCGACCTGGCAGCTGGCATTTACTCCCTGGGTTATGTCCAGGGTCGGAAATCCCCTTGTGGGGATGACTCTGTCCCCTTCTCCAAGCAGCTAAGTGTCTCTGACATTCCAGCTTCCATGTCTTCCTGTTCTCAAGCTACAGGGAAAGGGGGAAGAAGTAAAGGATGACTCTTTTCTGGGACAGCCATTTGGATCAGAATCAGAGTTGGAAATGTCTGAGGAAGGAGCTATCTGGGGAGCAGGAAGCACCTGGCATGGTGTCATCATGAACAGCCACTGTGTGTCTTTACCAGACCAGGCAAATGGTCATCCCACAGGGGAAGATGTTGTGTTCCATCTCTACTCTGGTACTAAGGCTTCAGCATCAGTGTCAGGGGTACCTGGGATGGTGGGAACCCCAAATCCCCCATAGGACGAGTGTCCAAATTCTGAAGGGGACTTTCAACAGTGAGCAAGCCACCTAGCTTCTCTGTTTCTCCCTCTGGAAGAGGGGACATCACCAGGGGCCACAGCTACCTCCCAGGGCTGTTTGGACTGATCCATTGGGTTTTTGGCACGTGTACAGGGCACAGTACCTAAATGTGAGCTTTTGTTTTGTTGGGACAGACACTCCCATCAGAAGAGGAGGAAAGAACGAGTTGGCAATGGGAGGAGGAGATGGAGAAGACTGAACTCAACTCAAGTTGACAGCTGGAAAGCATTGACTCAGCCATGTAAGTGCTAGAAATGAGAACACCACTGAGTAGCAGAGAAGGAGAAAATGCAAAGATCCGCTTTCCAAATGCCAGGAGCATGTACTTGCACTGAGAACAGTAGGGCTCCTCTCACAACCCTGCCCCCTGCCAGTCAAGTGGCTCCATGGGGCAGCTCAGTGGCCCCTTCTTGCATCAGCAGATCCAGGAGTATTATCACTTTGGTAGTTTGTTAACAGTGAGAACATCAGGAGAGGAACAGCTGTTTGCAAAGCAGAGACAGACTTCCTCATCTCCACTTTGAGACCTTGCCCAGAAATGGGGATGGGATACGAAACAATTAGTTGAGCAGGCTTCTGGGTGAAAATTAAAAAAAAAGACTTTCTATTTTTAACCAATAACTGTCCTGAAATTTTTGTAAAACAAATAGGCTTTTTTTGAGAAACATGACTTAGTAGCTTTTCTTAGAATGCAGAAGTCTTTCTCCAATCATCACAAAGAATAATAGGAAAAGAAAAAAGCACAATTTCAGGAATATATATATATATATATAAAGTTAAGATCTTTCTCATATACATTCTGGCTGACAGCTATGAAAAATTTCCCCAAATTCCTTTGAACAGCAGTTGGGGCCTAGAGCCAGTAGCTCTGGCAGATGTTAGGGCAATTTCTGTACTTAGAATTTGCCTCTCTTATGTCTCCCTCCTCTGGGACTCCATTGAAAAAAAAGTGTGACCAATTTGTCAGACTTTCAGACTCGGAAGAAATACTGCAAAGGGTTTAGCATTGCAGAAAGGACCACTAATTCTGTGGAAATATGAGGACCCCAAACAGGCATCAGGAGCTCCAGTTCCTTTCAGCACAACTGAGACCTTCTTATTCCAAGCTAAATGAACAGTGTCCTTCCCATGTTTTTCCAAAGGAGGAGGGGGCTTTAGAGTGACAACAGGAGCACACTCCCACTTCTTCGTTATGCACACATCATGCATAGTGACGCTGAGAATCCATCTGTGTCGCAGTCGATGATGAAACAGCTCAGGAGCACAAACTCTTCCTGCACATGTGCAAAATGACACTTGAGCACCAATAGGGCAGAGCATTACCCATTCATTCAACAAACTGTAACTCTTGGGATATGTTTAAATGAGCCAGCCACAGAGAACTGCTCTATTCTAGGTGGAAACTATTGTCATCATTCAACGACAACTGCCACCATCATCCTCATCAACAGCAGTGACTATCCCTCCATCACTCTTCTACTTGATGACAACCAGCAGCCTCCAAGATGCTCCTGGCACTGTGTTGCCTCTGCTTCCAGAGCAGAGATGGGCTTTTATCATATTCACTTCCTCCTCCTCCTGGGGCAGTTCTCTCTTAAGCTTTAATAGCACATGCAGGCGCCCACACATGCACGTCCTGAGCGAGGTCACACTCTAACAACTCTCTTACGGGATACCGCAGCGCTGAGCAGCTGCCTCACAAATACTTGTGTTCAGAATTCTCTGCCTCCTGTCCTTCAGGAGAAGCTCTGACAGCGACTTTGTGTCCAACACTTCTGATCTCAGGTTCACCATCTGGACAAATTGTTATGACCAAACTTAAAACTCAGCCTCCATTTCCTCCTCTGTGAAATGGGGATAATAATGGAACTAACCACCTAGAGGAGACATCAGCAAACTTCCTCGGTACAGGGCCAGAGAGTGAATATTTTCGACTTTGTGGCCTCAAGGTCTCTGTCTCATCTACTCCACTTGGCTGTTGTAATGTGAGGGAACCCAGACAAGATGGAAACAAATGGGCATGGCTGTGTTCCACTGAAACACTACAATCTGAATTTCATAAAAATTTTGTGTGTCACAAAATATTGTTTTGCTTTTCTTTTAATCAATCATCTAAAAATATGATATATCCAAAGGAAACAATATCATTATCTTGAAGACACATCTGTACCCCCATGATCATAGCAGCATTATTCAGTAGTCAAGGTACAGAAACAACCTAAGTGTTCACTGACAGATGAATGGGTAAAGAAAATGTGGTATATATACACAATGGAATATTATTTACCCATGAAAAGAAGTAATGCTGTCACCTGGGACAACATGGATGAATCTGGAGGGCATTATACTAAGTGAAATAAGCTAGACAGAGAAAGAGAAACACTGCATGGGATCAGTGTGGAATCTAAAAAAAAGGTAAAACTCTTAGAAACAGAGTAGAAAAGTGGGTGCCAGGGGCTGGGGGGTGGGGGAAATAGGGAGAGGTTGGTAAAAGAGTATAAACTTTACATTTTAAGATAAGATAAATAAGCTCTGAGTACTTAATGCATAACTTGGTGACTATAGTTGATAACACTGTATAATTGAAATTTGCTATGAGAGTAGAATAATGTTCTCACCAAAAAAAAAAAAAAAAAAGGTAAATTGTGAGGTGACAGATGTGTTGATTAAGTCAATGGGGAATCCTTTCACAATGTATGCATATATCAAATCATCACTTTAAATACCTTACAAATTTATTTGTCAATTATAACTCAATAACGCTGGGTGAAAAATAAAACCTATTCCCAGCATGAAGGTCCTATGAAAACAGATGGGGGTCCAGGTTTGGCCCAGGGGCCGGGGTTTACTGATTCCTGACAGAGACCTCGATGCGGATGAAATGAGTCACTGATGCAAAGCACTCCGCAGACTGCCTGAGACCTAAGTACCCAACCCACAGGAGCTATCACTCTAGAGGCCGAAGAAGAAACTGATGTGGTTGAGGTAAAACCCTTCAACTTGACCCAGCCCTACATCTTGGTTCAAAGGGTGAGAGGGGAACTGTCATTTCTCAGGAAGGAGCAGGGATGAAATAGGCAAGCAACAGGTGCACACATGAAGAGATATCTGGCAGTCCTGGTTCTACTGAAGAGCTTTGCTGCCTGAGCCCAGGGTGCAGTGACCTGAGAATTTCAGCCACAAAAGTTAACGTAAGTACAGGAAACTGAAGGCAAGAGTTCCAGGTGCCTGCTTGCTGCAGGTGTTGTGTAACTAACTGCCCCCTTGGAGTCATGTTGGTAGGTGTAAATCAACTAGTAATAATCATAATTACAACAGCCAAATTCAATTATTTCTGTAACTGAGATTTTACACCATAAAATTGCATCCAAAAATGAGGTATTATAGAGGATTTCCAACCAAAGTGAAACAGACAGGAATAAGCTTTCCTACCCACGTTTGAATCCCCTCCAGTACTCACGTATCAGGCACAGAATCTCTCGGCCCATCGTGGTTCTCCTTCAGACATTTATGCTGCCAACACACATGTAGTTTTGCATCATGTGGCCCACTACGAAACAAGGTGGGTGTTCCTGAAGGAGGAAGGAAGCCCCGGGAAGTACCTCCTCAGTGATATAAAGGCTTCTGCTCCTTTGCTTTCTGCTTTCTCTACTACTCCTGCCACATCCCCTCCCTCCCACAAGGAGGAGTGTCGGGTCCTCCCTGAAGCACAAATATCCACCATCGTACCTGATCAAAATGACATCAATGTCGCCACCAACCATACCATAAGGATAAGGTTAAAAACTATAAATCTGCGGCTTATCAAATGCATACATCATTCAGAATTCAACACTATAAAATCAAGTTTTATTTGTTACCATTATTTCTTCCATATGGGGAAATAAAGAACACAATGTGAAAACCATTTATAGACTCGAACTGCATGGGTTTTCTTTTATAAAATTATTTATTTAATTTTTTATTGAGGTCACGTTGGTTTATAACATTATATAAATTTCAGGCATTATTATTATTATTATTATTATTATTATTATTGCTAAGGAAGATTAGCTCTGAGCTAACATTGTTGCCAATCCTCCTTGTATTTTGCTTGAGGAAGAGTAGCCCTGAGCTAACATCTGTGCCAATCTTCCACTATATGTAGGTCGCCATCACATCATGGCTGATGAGTGCTGTAGGTCCATGCCTGGGATCTGAACCCACAATCCCAGGTCCCCAAAGTGGAATGCACTGAACTTAACCACTATGCCATGGGGCCAGCCCCAAGGTGTACATTGTTATATTTTGAATTCTGTATAGACTACATCATGTTCACCACCAAAAGTCTAGTTTCCATGCATCACTGTACAAATATGCCACTTTACCCTTTACTCCCTCTCCCGACCCCTTCCCTTCTGGTAACAACTAATCTGTTCTCTGTATCTATGTGTTTGTTTATCTTCCACATATGAGTGAAATCATATGGTATTTTTCTTTCTTCGTCTGACTTATTTAGCTTAGCATAATACCCTCAAGGTCCATCCATGTTGTAACAAATGACAAGATTTCATCTTTTTTATGGCTGAGCAGTATTCCATTACGCGTGTGTGTGTGGGTATTCTTTATCCATTCATCCATTGATGGGGACTTAGATTGCTTCCAAGTCTTGGCTATAGTGAACAATGCTGCAATGAATATAGGAGTGCATATATCTTTTCAAATTAATATTTTCATATTCTTTGGATAAATACCCAGTAGTGGGATAGTTGGATAATATGACATTTCTATTTTTAATTTTTTGAGGAATCTCCATACTGTTTTCCATAGTGGCCACACCAATTTACATTCTGATCAGCAGTGTATGAGGGTTCTCTTTTCTCCAAATCCTCTCCAACACTTACTTCTTGTCTTTTTAATAATAGCCATTGAGACAGGCATGAGGCAATATCTCATTGTAGTTTTTATTTGCATTTCCCTAATAATTAGTGATGTTGAACATCTTTTCATGCGTCTGTTGAACATCTGCATATCTTCTTTGGAAAAAATGTCTGTTCAGATCCTCTGTCCATGTTTTGATCGGATTCTTTGTTGTTTTGTTGTTGAGTTGTATGAGTTCCTTACATATTTTGGATATTAATGCCTTATGGGATATACGATTTGCAAATATCTTCTCCAAACTGTAGGTTGTCTTTTCGTTTTGTTGATAGTTTCCTTTGCTGTGCAGAAGCTTTTAGTTTTATGTAGTCCCATTTGTTTATATTTTCTTTTGTTTCCCTTGCCTGAGTAGGCATATCCAAAAAAAATATTGCTAAGACCGATGTCAAAGAGTGTACTGCCTCTGTTTTCTTCTAGGAGTTGTATGGTTTCAGGTCTTACATTCAAATCTTTAATCCATTTTGAGTTGATTTTTGTGCATGGTGTCAGATGATGGTCTACTTCCATTCTTTTGCGTGTGGCTGTCCAGTTTTCCCAACACCAACTATTGAAGAGACTTTCCTTTCTCCATTGTATCTTCTTGGCTCCTTTGTTGAAAATCAGCTGTCCATAGATGTGTGAGTTTATTTCTGGACTCTCAATTCTGTTCCATTGACTTGTGTATCTGTTTTTCATGCTGTTTTGATTACTATAACTTTGTAGTACATTTTGAAACCAGTGAGTGTGATATCTCCACCTTTGCCTTTTTTCTTAGGATTGATTTGGCTATTTGGGGTATTTTGTTGTTCTGTATAAATTTTAGGATTCTTTGCTCTATTTCCATGAAAAATGTCATTGGGATTCCAATTGAGCTTGCACTGAATCTGTAGATGGCTTTAGGTAATATGGACATTTTAACTATGTTAATTCTTCCAATCCATAAGTACAGAATATCTTTCCAGATTCTTAGATTTCTTTATGTCTTCTTGAATTTCTTTCAATAATGTCTTATAGTTTTCAGTATTCTGGTCTTTCATCTCCATGGTTAAATTTATTCCTAGGTATTTTATTCTTTTTGTTGCGATTGTAATTGGGATTGTATTCTTGATTTCTCTTTCTGCTAGTTCGTTGTTAGTGTATAGAAATGCAACTGACTTTTGCATGTTGATTTTGTACCCTGAAACTTTACTGTATTCATTATTTCTAATAGTTTTTTTGTGAATTCTTTAGGATTTTCTATATATATAAAATTATGCATCTGCAAACAGTGACAGTTTTATTTCTTCCTTTCCAATTTGGATACATTTCATTTCTTTTTCTTGCCTAATTGTTCTGGCTGGAACTTCAAATAGTGTGTTGAATAAAAGTGGTAAGAGTGTGCATCCTTGTGTTGGTCCTGTTTTTAGATGGATACTTTTTAGTTTTTCACTCTTAAGTAAGATATTGGCTGTGGGTTTGTCATATATGACCTTTATTATCTTGAGGTACTTTCGTTCTATACCCAGAGATTTTTATTCAGAGTTTTTATCATAAATGGATGCTGAATCTTAGCATAAATGAATGATTTCTTGGCATCCTATGAGATGATCATGTGGGTTTTTTTCTTCATTTTGTTAATGTGGTGAATCACATTTATTAATTTGTGGATGTTGAACCATGCTTGCATATGGTAATAAATCCCACTTGATCGTAGTGTATGATCCTTTTAATGTCTTGCCATATTCAATTTGCTAATATTTTGTTGAGGATTTCTACATCTATATTTTTCAGCAATAATGGCCTGTAATTTTCCTTTTTTGTGTTGTCCTTGTCTCCTTTTGGTATCAGGGTAATGTCAAAATCATAAAATAAGTTAGAAATTGTCCCATCCTCTTCGATTTTTTGGAGGAGTTTGAGAAGGATAGGTACTAAATCTTCTTCTTTGAATGTTTGGTAGAATTCACCAGAGAAGTCATCTAGTCCTGGACTTTTGTTTTTTGGAAGGTTTTTTATTATTGTTTTAATCTTTTTACTAGTGAATATTCTATTCAGATTCTCTATTTCTTCTTTATTCATTTTTTGGAGATCACATGATTCTACGAATTTATCCATTTCTTCTAGGTTATCCAATTTGTTGCCATATAGCTTTTTATAGTGTTCTCTTATAATCCTTTCTATTTCTGTGGTATCCATTGTAATTTCTCCTCTTTCATTTCTGATTTTATTCATTTAGACTTTTCTCTTTATTTCTTAGTTAGTCTAGCTAAGGGTTTGCCAATTTTATCTTTTCAAAGAACCAGCTTTTAGTTTCATTGGTCTTTTATATTGTCTTTCAGTCTCTATTTCATTTACTTCTGCTCTGATTTTTATTATTTCCTCCCTTTTACTGACTTTGGGCTTCATTTGGCTTTTCTAGTTCTTTTAGGTGTAGTGTTAGATTGTTTATTTGAGATTTTTCTTGCTTCCTTAGGTGGACCTATATTGTTATAAACTTCCCTCTCAGAACCACTTTTGCTGCATCCCATAAGTTTTCATACGTTGTGTTTTCATTTTCATTTGTCTCGAGGTATTTTTTAGTTTCTCTTTTGATCTCTTCATTGATCCAATAGTTGTTTAATACATGTTGTTCAGTCTCCACATATTTGTGACTTTCCAGCTTTCTTCTTGTAATTTATTTCTAATTTCAAGCCATTGTGGTTGAAAAAGACGCTTGATAAGATTTCAATCTTCTTAAGTTTACTGAGAATTGTTTTGTTTCCCAACATATGATCTATCTTTGAGAATGTGCCATTTGCACTTAAGAAGAATGTGTATTCCACTGCTTTTGGATGAAATGTTCTCTATATATCTATTAAGTCCATCTGTTCTAGTGTTTCATTTAAGGCCAAGGTTTCCTTGTTGACTCTCTGTCTGGATGATCTATCCATTGATGTAAGTGGGGTATTAGTCCCCTACTATTATTGTGTTGCTATCAATTTCTTCTTTTGGTCTGTTAATTGTTGCTTTATATAATTTGGAGCTCCTATGTTAGGTGCATAAATATTAATAAAACTATGTCTTCTTAACAGACTAATGTCCCTCTTCATCCCCTGTTAGCTTTTTTGGTTTTATGTCTATTTTGTCTGATGTAAGTATAGCTACACACACTTTCTTTTGGTTGCTATTTGCTTGGAGTATCATCTTCCATCCTTTCATTTTGAAGATATGTTTGTCTTTAGCACTGAAATGGGTCCCCTGGAGCCAGCATATTGTTGGGTCTTGTTTTTTAATCCATCCAGCCACTCTGTGTCTTTTGATTCGTGAATTCAATCCATTTACATTTAGAGTGATTATTGATATACGAGGTCTTAATACTGACATTTTATATTTTGTTTTCCATTGTTCTATATTTCCATTGTTTCTTTTTCCTTGTATTTCTTTCTGCCATTTCAGTTTGGTGGTTTTCTGTGATGTGTTTCTCAGTTTCCTCTTTTTTTAAAGTTTTGTGACTCTGCTCTGAATTTTTGTTTTGTTGTTACCATGAAGTTTGTGAAAAAGATCTCATAGATTAGATAGTCCTTTTTCTGCTGATAGCCTCTTATCTCCTTTAGCCAATACAGGTTCTGTCCTTTTCTTTTTCCACTTCTATGTTTTTATTGTCACAAGCTAGCCTTTTTTGTACTGTAAGTTTGTTACCAAATTGAAGTGATTACAGTTTTTTTTAATGATTTCTTTCCTTTAGGATTTATGCTATAATTTTTTCTAAACTATTCTGCTATGGAGTTGCAATTTTCTTTCTGCTGCTTCTTCTTCTTTTTTGTTGCAGAGGAAGATTCACCCTGAGCTAACGTCTGCTGCCAGTCCTCCTATTTTTTTACATGAGCCACCATCACAGCATGGCCACTGACAGACGAGTGGTGTAGGTCTGTGCCCAGGAACTGAGCCCAGGCTGCCAAAGCAGAGTGCACTGAACTTAACCACTAGGCCACCAGGACTGTCC